GTTCTGAAGGCAAAAGGGGGTCCAACCCGTTACTAGCATGGTGTACCTAATAAAGTGGCCGGTGAGTGTACTTTAAAAGCTGTAGAGTGGAATCCAAACATGACATGAGAGATTTCACTAAAAGACAAACAAAGATCTGGCGTGATGAGGTGTTAACACCCTGGAGTATGATTTGGGGATAACTCTCAGTTACCACCACACCAGATTTTAGCTCAGTATCTGTAAAAATCACTGAGATTTAACCATTTTTCTGTAACTGCAGCAGCCATCTTGAATCATGTTGACTCCAAACATTATTTAATTAAAGAAAAATCTCATCTGTCCAATGGTCCGTAAAATATTTTACTAACAAATGGACACAGACACAGTCAGATTATTCAAGGATAACAAATCAAAAACAAGAGTTTGAATCCTTACAGGGTTTTTTGGCTGGAGGGGGGATGGTGAGGCCCAGGTAGGACCCGTTTTCCGCATCCAACCTCCGCTTGTACTTCTGCCGTCCTCCTCTGACCCGGTCCAGACGCACACCTGTACAGTGAACGGTTATGGAGAGCTCAATCTTTTAGAAGTAAATATAAAAGTACGGTATATTAATTACAAGGTATTAATTAGAAAAAAAAACAGATTCTTACTTTTAATTGTCCAAAAATGGTGCAAATGTGCCCAAAACTACTCAATTTACATTATGACCACTGATTTTTATAAAGTGCTCAATGCATTTGAAATATCCTGTTTGCTAAATAAAGAGGTTATATTAATCAACCCATCTGTTCTGAAAAGTTTCTCAATATTTCTGACAAAAAGAGTTAAATTCAGACAGGCTTGACGAGCTAATGGCAAGTACTAGTGGAGCCAGGACAAAAGCAGGATTTTGCCATCTTGGAGAACAAAGTAACATTTTATAAAAATAAAAATTTTAAATGTTTACGCTTGTATTTAATTAACCTTAAATGTTTTTTTACACAGAATTTGGCAGTTATTTGCAGGCACAAACAGGGACAGCAGCAGCTAGCGGTAGCATTTCTGGTGCAGCACGGTGCACAATGATGGATATCAAGTTGTGACATTTCTGCTGGAATACTGAAATAATTGTGTAATGCCAAACAAAAGACAGGGTTATAAAACAGTGTTTTCAGGTCAAACACATTCAGTCTTTGCTCAGACTATCAGTTACCCAAATTAAACTCTTTTTCCAAGTTGTTCAAAGAGCTATCTACAACGGGTAAGATATTAACTGTTCATAACCTTTCTATTGAGCCTACATTAAAAGTGTTCTTCAAGCTGTTGATCAGTTTGTTGCTCCTTACATTCCAGGACAGGGGTCTGCAACCTTGACAATCCAAAGAGTCATTATTTATTATAAATAAAACGTTTCCAGAGCTGAAAAACGTGCTAAAGCTGTGAAAATCAACTGGTGGTCCATGGGCCACTTTGAGTTGTTGAATGTGGGCTTTCTGGCCAGTGGAGGTGACATTATAAATACATATCTAATCTCATGTTATCTTTGGTCAAAGCTTCAAAGAGCCGCTGCAGAGGGATCCAATGTGGCCCAGGTCCACAGGTTTCAGAGCCCTGGTCCAGGAGGACGGTCTCTTTTTTTTACTGCATTTTTATAATAACGCTGTACTTGACTTGACATGATTTTTTAAAAGTGTATCTCATTTTGTTTACTGCTTCACTTCTGTCTCAGTCGTGTAAATCTTTCAAATGACATGTAAACATTAGGATCATTTTATGATGGTGTTGATTTTACCAGTTATAAATGGGAAACGTGAGCTTTTATTTTTCCCAGTTACAACAGCTTTAACTTTAAGGCATAAAAATGACAAAATAACTCAGCTTTTAATAGGTGTATAAATTAAGATTTTACAGTCAGTCATTTATTACCAAATGTTAATGTCCTCATAACAAAACTGTTTTTGTTTTAAGCTTCAGACTTGTTATCAGGGCGTTTCAGCGGTGGTCTCAGCATATAATTGTGACACATGTGGGATTATCTCCAAGGCCATCGCAGAGGACAAAAGGCTCCGCGCACCTTATGAGCTGAATTTACAAGCTGGTATTAAAAGTTTGTTTGAGCGCTGAAGGAGGGGGCAAACAGATTTTACATGGTCAAGTGGAATTGAGTCGTGCGAGATTTCCCAGCGACTCCCATAAATTCCTTTGATTCCCCTGGAAACAAAAGAATCCGATTAGGATGGTCTTTCAATTTCCTGACACCGACTATCCACTAACCTAATTACCCAGCGTGCCCAGAGGGAGCTCATTCTTCCCAGCAAACACAGTGAGATCATTTTATGCCTGGCAGATTGAAGCTAAATCGAGAGCCCCTCTTCTAACACAGCTTTCCATTTGTACGCCTTAAAGTAATCAATAAGGCTTGCAAATAGACTTCTTGTTCTTTGAACACATGTGGATGTGGTTTTAATTAGTCAGTTAGGCAGCTAGGAGCTGGGTTTCTAGTAGATGGAGCTGTGGCTGTTGTTTTTACCATTACTCTTGCTTAAGTTAGGTAAAACATATAAATTATACTACAGGATTGTGCATTTACTGCGAAGTTTAGATCAGTCTAAAAGCTCTATTTATTGCAGGGTTATAACACCTGTATCCAGTCAAACATAAGCACTTTTTAAAGCCTTTTTTTCCCCAACATTAATTTTTCTGTCATTCCACGTTTTTTCTCCCTCCACAACAATAAACAACATGCATACAAACAGTGCACAATGACGATTTAGCAACTTTCTGAAATAAACGTCAAATGCCATTTTAGACAAAAATTATTTTTTCTGTATTCTCTTCTTTTAAAATCAAATAATTTGAGTTTTAGTGTTTTTTTATTTTTTTTTAGATTTGTTGGATTGTAAAATGATAAGTTGATCTAAACCCAACTGATAAATGTTAGAGTTTTAAGCAACTTAAAGTACTTTTTTAAATTGTAAATTACAGTAATAGTACAGAATTAATTTTTTATGAGGTTCTATGGAATAATTATGAACAACAAATATTTTACCTGTTGTAGATAGCTCTTTGAACAACCTCAGTTTGGGGAAACAAGGTTTATTTGAAGGGGTGGATCTACAGGGGGTGCAACGGGGGCTGTAAAGCCTTGCCCCCCCCCCCCCACAGCTGCCCCCCTACGTTAATGTCCTTAAAATACTTATAATTACTAATTAATTGTTAGTCCAAAAGACTTATACCTTTAAATTAAACACTAATTTACCAAATATATGTAATTGTAGATACAGTATAATCTAAGGTTCCCTGAAAAACTCCCACCTACATCTCTGATGTTTTAACAAGTTTACAATGAATCAAATGTCTCGTGAAGTGATCAACGTTCAACTGGTAAAGTTTCTTAACTCGCAAGTGAGTTGTAAGAGCGTTAGCATATTTCTCTTGTTAGTTTTGCTTGCAATAAGCATTAATGAAAAGTTTAGATACAAAAACAATGCTTCAGGTTTGCTTTTTTAGGGGCTGCAGTTTCACTGACATCTTTATGATCAATATCACGGTAATGAGGCACAATTAAACCACGTTGTGTCAGATTAGGAAATTAATAAATAGGCTGCCATGAGACGTCTAAAAGTAGCTGCTTGTGTGACCTGTGTAAATGTGACAAATCATTTCTGGGTTCGTATTTATAGTTGGGGCGGAGCCAAGACCAAAATGGGTTGCTTCTATTTCAAAGCAGTTCGTTCAAACACTATTTTAAAACTTTTACGTTTGTCACAGCGTCACACAACATGGGTATTTACATGGAATTCTATATTTTGCTAACACAAATATCAGCAGCAACAGCTAGCTGTAGCACAGCCAATAAAGTGAATGATAATAAACTGAAAAAACTGAGATGCAAAGGGAAGATGTTATTTATGAACAACCAAAAGCTTTTAAATATCATTTTGAAGCACTTATAAAGACGCTTCCGGGGCATGACAAGATTTAATTTCAGGGATTTAAAGATCTTATTAGTGACAAAAGTAGGCTTAATAAAGATGTAGGAAGCTGCGGAAGCAGTACGCATGTGATGCAAAAGGTAAACAGCGATATGCGCACAACAGACAAACGAGACTGACAGAGAAGTGGTACTGCTTTTTTTCTCTATCACCACAAAACACACAGGTTTGCCCAGCTATACATTTGGGGACATTCCATTGACTTCCATTACATTCCTACAGCCTAACCCTGACCACAAACCCTAAGGCTAAAATCACAGGTACCTACCTGACCCCAAAACTAACCTAAACTCAATTCACACCTTGGTCCTAAACCCAACCCCCAACCCACCAATGGCWTTTAAACCAAACGAGGACTCGACTTAGGTCCCCAAATGCACCAGTTGTCCCCAAATGTAGGCGTTTTGTCTTAAAATTGCCCCTAAATGTCACCAAAAACAAACCCACATACACACAGACACACACACACTGGTTTTCCTGCTGTGGGCTGCCGGGTCATGTGGCTGCAACAAACGACAAGCGACCAAACAGCCAGTGTTCGAATTCCAAGATCCATGGGGGCCGTTTGAACTGGAACATCCAACTGCTTCATAATTAATCGTCGCTGACAAGAATTAAGAGCTTTGTGCTGACCAGTTTCAGTTTACAGCTTAGCAGCGCTGAAAACAGCAAAGACCTAAAACTGGAAGGCAGAGAGAATGAGAGAGAGGGGGGAAGGAAAGCACACATGAAAAAGCTCCGATGGCGCTGAAGGCTCAGCAGGTTAGAGAGCGAGACAGAGCAAGTTGCTGTTTTATACTGAATGTATCAGCTTTCTGCAAGATCGTTTTTTTGTTTTCTCTCTTGTTCTCTGTTCTCCCGTTTGTCTGGGTCTAATGCCAGCATCATCTTTACCCTGACATCCCTGCGTGTCCCAGTCAGCGCCTGATCTGACCAGTGCTGGATGATGTACGACACGGTGCAGTGCTGAGAATGTGAGCACAACAAGACAGCTGGATGAGGCCCCCTGTAGAAAGCTGGGGAGTGGGAGAGGAAGGGGGGCACATGTCATGATATCATGCTTCAGTGCAATGCACAGACGCAGGGAGGTGTTTGACTCAAAGACCACGAGGTTGGACTTTTTAAACACATTTAGATTCTTTTTATTTAGTTGTTCTGCGAGAAGATAAACGTGTCGCTTGTACAAAATTCACAAAGATCATACACTTCAGTGTAAACCTGACAGTAAATCCCTGTAATACAGTAAGTGTTTTTATGTGTTGAAAGATGATGAGGTGTATTTACATCCAGGCGATCTTTACGGCTACCTGACCCCGGGTTCCCTTTCACGTTAACTGTCTTTATTGACTCGCCGAACCTCAAAGAAAAGTCCTGATTGAAGCATTTGTGCAGCTGCTGTAGGTTTCCTGCAAATCAATTCATTTTTTCCTTTTTTTCACTTACTATTGACTTATTTATTTACTCTTGTCATGTTCTTTGAAGATCATAATCATACGATACCAATAAAGCTACTCTTTTAGAATGTTGACTACAAACATATTAATATAATGGGCCAAATGGCCACTCTTTGTG